ATTTAGTTCAAGGGTGAGAACATGTTGCGGGTGGAAGAGTGTAACATTGCGTATTTCCCAACGAAGTAGCCATCAAGGACTCGCAGGATTCGCATGAGGCGTTGAATGATCCTTCTGGGAAGAGAGGGGAATGCAAAACCCATCACTTGAGTATTCTGTTATATCCTAATCGTAACGAATTGCAATAATGTCGTTAATATGCTTAACAGAGAAAATACAAAAATATTTAAAATAAAAATTTAAACGTTGGTTAGTGTTAGAAGAAAAGCGTATATTTTTGTTCCATTTTAATTAAAAGTTTCTATAAATATTCGGTGTTTTTTTACGCGTAATAATGGCGCATCAGAATCGCATATTCACCCTACGAATTGGGTGTTCATAGAAACGTACGTTCCTGTCAGGCCCCCACAATTAACTGACAATATGTCGCTGCAAAACAAAATTGACATATCAAAAATGTTTAACGTAAAAGGGCATATAGAGAGATCATAAAACAGCCAGTAGATATATTCAATTTCATTGCTTTGCGGGTATATGTTCAGGGAAAAAGTGTAACATTGTAAAACTCGGTTATGAATGAGAAAGAAAATAAGCAAATTTGTAATTTATTATTATATATTTTAGAGCTTACCATCAGTTTCATTAAATTTTTTTGTTATAAATCTGATCTTGATTGTACCTATCTGTCGTCGTTTCATATTTGGCTATTGACTATCAGTCAACCGCTTACTTTTCATTGATCTCCTTTAAACTTTCATTCCTAAACCCCTGATTTAGACCGAAATATTGTGGAAACTTTTTCTACACTTCACGAGCTACTAGTCAGGTGATTACCTCGTAATGTTTTAAACAGAGCTATTTTAACGCCCTTTAGAGGGGTTTTGCGAAGCCTGAGCACCTTAGTACCTCGTTTTCATAGTATATAATCTGATATTAGTTATATTTATTTAACAAAATCGATGATTGATGGGCATGTTCAGTCAAAAAAATGCGAATCAGTAGTATGTGACATGACGGAAACAGCGCAGTCTCTGCCGCCGTATTCCCGAAGTAATTCCACTTCGAAGAACATGTACAAAAATCTTCATAAGGCGGCTCCACACATTCAGCATACACCGAGTAACGAGCTACTGCTCAGCTAATCCCAAGCAGCTGATGTGTTCGGCGAATGTTCGTTTCCTTTGATGTGTCCGTAAGACACGTGGTGGGTTGGGCGAGCACCGAATGTTCGTCGTTCGTGTAATAGCGAGCAAAAGCAAACTTTGAAGTTGGCCCGCGCGCACAAATCAGCACGCGCTCTATATTAAATAGCACAAAGAAACAGGACGCTAACTGCTTCAGCAAGCAGCGAGAACGAGTCTAGGACAGTATAAGGCAATGGGTATATAACGGGCAGTCGGTCAAGTGGAAGAGAACAAGAGCCAGCTACAACTTCGAGTGTTTGCGACTGTGACAGTTTCGCTGACCGCGCCCAAGTTCTGTGTTGATTGTTGGAAATTCTTGTAGTTGGATACGATAGGTACATCTTCTGTCGGCACGAAACTCGGCAAAGAAGTAGGTAGTACATTCTTACGGCAAGTGGAACTTTGAATATTTGTATTCTCCAGAAAATAATGTATTGTAAGTTCAAACCAAATTAACTATTTTATGTTGAAAAGTCTGCCTCCACCTCATTTCACAATCCAGTCGCCAGTCAGCCACCGTCCCGGACACTTCGCCAAAGACCTCGCCACTGAGGATGCCCAGCGCAGTCGTGGGCGAAACGTTTGGCAGTTCAAAGCCAATTGGACCACGGCCCGTCAGCCCGGAAGACACGAATAATATTTCACAACCCATCCGCACTACTCATGATTCAAGGAATCTTGACTTCAACCTCATAGATTGGGGAATATACAGTATTGTTGACCAAATTCAAAGGTTTTTTTAACCGCAATGCGGTTGTTCAGCTGACCAGAAGGACTTTGACGCCCGTGAAAACCAATTATTTGCAGTTACAAGAAACCTCAAAAACGTGAATTCTATGGATTACCATGTGAAGAGGAACTAGTTATTACATATTGGAACCGGGAGAGAAGGCTCGGTCATGCGTTACCTGATGTCACTGCAGTCCCTGACCGGGTCCTAGGCCTCAGTCCCGACAGTGGCAGGATTTTTCGACACTACTTATAAGCTTGGTCGAATTCTATGCTGTCTGGAGGAGAATTCTAGCGGTCGGCTGCAGTGATCGGTAGTTTTACTGAATTTTCCCCATAACCTCAGGCCGATGCCGGAACAAGTACCTAACAAACAGGCCACGGACTGCGCGCAATCTTTCCTTCCTATTTTCTTGTCTTATCAGCCTCTACACACACACATGTACTAGACACTATTACACACACATTTACTACACTTTCGCACATGCTGGGAGACCGGTCGGAGCGGGAGCGGGAGCTTGTCCCGGCTGGGGCGGTGCCCTCCGTTGGGAGATACCTGGTTGGGAATATCCCCGCTAGCAGATTGGTAGGCCGGCGCCGGATCTCGCCATACAGATGGGGAAGTCCACCGAGCAAAAACATGCACTACACTTACGACAATAATGACTTAAGTAGTTGACGCGCCAGGAATCACTAACAATCAATCAAATTACGTATTGGAAGATCTACCCACTGTTTCGTTGTTATGGCTGCACAATATGAGTTTTACTGGCGAAAAATTGCTGTTTTTTCCCGCAGCATTACGACAGTGGTAGGATTTTCGACAGTATCGTATCAGCTAGGTCGAATTCAATCGCTGTCTGGAGCGGTCGCTCGCTATTCGCCGCACACCGAGCGTCCGACCTACGGCTCGCCTTGCCCCGTGCGTGCGTGTGGGCCACACTGACCTGCATCTGCCGCACACGCGCGTCCGTCTCCTCCTTGGCGCCGGGGCTCCCCTCGCGGCTCGACGCCGCCGCCGTCGCCGCCGCCCCCGCGCCCGTCGCCGCCGCCGCCGCTTGCGCCGCCACCGCCACCGCCGCCGCCGCCGCCTCCGCCTCGGCCGCCGCCGCCACCGCCGCCGCCGGCTCCTCCTCGAGCTCCCGCCCCTCGTCGCCGTCCACGTCGTCCACGATGAAGCTGCGCACGCCCACACAACGCCACTCGTACATCTGCGTCGCCGAAAGAGCTCAAGAAAGCGGACACAGATTGTAAAACTACATTTTTCTACTCTCATTGTGAAATTTTTTCATTTGATGGCACCAACCCGTTCTATAATGGTACACATTACGATATAGATTTCATTATGATACATGTTCTTGACCAATCACATAGACATTTATGAACCATGTATTGACAATTAATAATTACGTTCTAGTAAATGTTGCTTTCGTTTGTGCTCATTAATATTGCATTTAGTGTTATATTGTGCTAGTTATTTTTAGTTCATTTGTTGTATTAAATATATCTGTTGTATCATTCAATTGTAAAGAGCTCAAGAAAACGGACACAGATCGTGAAGCCACATTTTTCTATTCCCATTGAGTAATTTTGTCATTTGATGGCTCCAACCCGTTCCATAATGATTCACATTCCGATACAGACTTCATTATGTTAGTTTCTTGACCGGTGACATAGACATTTACGAACCATGTATTGACAATTAATAATTAAGAATTATTGTTCTAATAAATATTTCGTTCGTTAGTGCTCATTAAAATTGCACTTAGTGTTATATTGTGCCAGTCATTTTTAATTCCTTTGTTGTATTAAGTATATTTGTTGTATCATTCAAGTGCAAAGAGCTCAAGAAAGCGGAGACAGAGCGTGAAGCTATATTTTTTCACTCCCATTGTGAAATTTTGTCATTTGATGGCTCCAACACGTTCAATAATGGTGCACATTACGATACAGATTTCATTATGGTTTGGTTCTTGACCAATCACATAGACGTTTATGAACCATGTATTGACAATTAATAATTAAGAATTATTGTTCTAATAAGTGTTTCGTTCGTTTGTGCTCATTAAAATTGCAATTAGTGTTATATTGTGGTAGTCATTTTTAATTCATTTTATTATTAATATTGAATGAACTCCAAAAATAGACAGCTTAGAACATATATTGATTACTAAATGTTTCGACCAAAAATTTATTAATATACGAATTGCAATAATGTCGTTAATATAATTAACAGAAAAAATACAAAAACGGTTAAAATAAAAACTTAAAAGTTGGTTAGAAGGATACAGAGAATAACACACCTTTATATACCAAGAAGGTTTTAAAAAACGTGGCTGTTCATAACACGAAACGTGAATTGAAAATATTTAATGACGTTTTCCCTGGAGCCTTCCTGTCGCATAATGTCAGGTATGTGTACGAACGCACTGAGTACAAGCATTGAGTTTGTAAGCGCAGTTGGGAATAGGGGGAATAACACAAATGTTTCCATTTTTCAGTCAAAATAGACATTTACTTTTGTTTTTGTGTTTTTCCCGAGTTCCTCGGTATCTGACGAAACAATAGACCTCTTCCACATGACTGGATGCTGCATATTTTTCATTCAATTTAGGCGGGCATTGGAAATTAATATTACAGATATATTTTTTTCTGGAGATCCTGTATATTTAACGAAACGTCAAAGAATGTGGTGGTGGTTTTCATGGGGCCAGAGAATACCATGAGCGACGTTCTGGGTGTGCCAAGATGCACTGCGAAGGTGGGTGTGCTAAGATGGCCGTTGTATAACGGGCGAAATGTCCATCATATTTGGAAACATTCCTCACTTAATTTCAAGAGACAAACGAGGAAGAAATTATAAAGGTTTTCTGTAGTACTGATCGATATCTCGAATGTATTTTTGGCGCTAACTCAAATATTAGCTCATATTATGTGCACAAAACCATCAGAGCAGTTTCTATTACGGCATTGAGCCATTGTATCTCACAAATGTGTTTTTCGCATTATGGGCTTCAGCTGTTCGTCAAAGTAATGTTGGTACCCCCGAGCGCGTTTGTTGCAAAGGCGGCTCGCCCTGCTGCTCACCTAAAGCCCGTGGAAAGCCGGTCCTGGAAGCAAATGTTGCGTGTGGGGAGACCGCTGTGTTCAGACATTTCCGCGCCTGCAAAACAAGAGCACATTTTTATTAAGATTATTGATATCATTAATATTATTAATAATACAGAACAGTCTGAAGAAAAAACAACAAAGAAATATTAGTCATCAGTAATCGACCTGATATGTTCAATAAAGGAAACAGTCGAGATTATTGATGTATCGTTCCAGAACACTTCAAATCTTCAGTTGGTTTTCACGAAAAAGAAAACCAAGTGTGTGGATCTTTCAAAGTCTATCAAACAACAATAGAATGCTGGTCAAGTGAGATTCGTTCATATTCGAATATCGAGCACCCCCAACTTCAAACATTAATCTCAAGGAATTAGATCTTCCAGAAAATCTAAAAAAACATATACTGAAGACAACCATCATCTCAACGGTTAGAATCGTCGGGAAATTTGTAGAAGTAATGTCAATTACCATAATCCGCTTGAAAAGTATATCAATTTATTATGTCATTACAATATACAATAATCTACGCAAGTGTCATAGATACGAGGTGCAAATAATAATAATAATAATAATAATAATAATAATAATAATAATAATAATAGAAGGGACGTTTGGTGCAGGTTTGGACCAAACAGGATCAATCTACAAGTAGATATCAGGTAATGTGAATCTTGCAGAATTTATATTTATTTACGTATCACCTTCTCGTACACTATACATGTAACTTTTTAATAGCATTACAGGTATGTAAGACATAACGGTTAACAATTGCATTAAATAACTACAGTCCAACATGATAAACATATTAAAATACAAAAAGCAACACCAAAACCACTTACATGAAAAATTAGCGTTTCAAACCATTATGTACATAATTACATGACAAAAATCTTTCCATTCGTCGAAAATTGAGTCAACATGGGGGCTAGAGCAGCCCATATGATGGTTGTGGTTAGATGCAAGGAATCGAAGTGCAATGATTGCAAAGTTGGGGCATTATGGAGTAAAACGTGGGTTTAGCAAACTATCTTAGATATGTTGGTTCATTAGTAATGCTTTATAAACCGGTTTCAGTTTTTGTAGGTCATTTTGGATGTTTATGGCATCATTAAACATAATATGCACCATTTCAGAAACCAATCTTTCGGATGTTTGCTTTTCATGAAGTGAAATGTTAAACTTATCTAACCCAATAGAGTAGTTACACTCTGTTCTGTGCTTAGTCAAAGAGGTGTATAGTATAGCATCTTTGTTAATGTATTATGCATGTTGGTAGACCCGGTTGCTAAGATAATGTTTGGTTTCCCCAATGTATCCCTCTTGACAGTCATTGCATGGAATAAACTACATTAAATTTATTCCCAATTTTGGTTGTGTCTTTTTGCTTGTATAACAAACTGGTTTTATTTCATTTGTAAAAAACAATGTAAAAATTGTAGTTTTTTGAAGTATGAATTACTACAATTACCACTTAGAATGGTAATTGTAGGCTTATATTTTTGCTGTTAGTAAATGCTTTGATGTTATACACAGTCAATCTATCTCAATGTATTTATTACTAAAGATCGATTGGTAAAGATTGTTTTAAGGAACTTTCTCTAGATTTTTGTAATAAAATTCAGGATTTGTAAATTTTAATGTGAACTTCACAAGATTGTATATCATAGCCACTTTTTGATTTTTAGAATGTTTCAACAGATAAGTCAGAAAAGGTTGGTTTATGATACCTGTCAGTTATAATTTTATTATCTTTAACTATTAGTTTAAGATTTAAAAATATAATTTCTCTATAGCTGTTTTCAAATTCAGTAGTGAAAAGTAATCTGGGATGAAATTTATTGTCAACCAAAGTGTCAATACTAGATTGATGCAAACATTTTAATCAAGAAAATATAGTCAAAGAAATCATTACAATTAAAATAATCTTTGCTACACTTTTAGACGTTACAATTTCCTTGGCGTATAACATGGAAGGGAGTTACAATAAGAAAATTTTAAAATATGCAGATCTGGCCCATGAGAAACAAACTCTCTGGAAACGTGCTTGTGGGAAAATTGTTCAAATGATTTTTTTGACAGCCGTCTTTGTCCTAAATTTATAGATAAAACATCTGGATCAGTTCAGTATTAAGCAATTTTTGTCACGTATTCGAAGAGCCTCTATATTATATACTTGAGGCAACATCCCATTAATTTTGAAAGGTTTATAATTTCACTTTAGCTGAGGAACGTAATAACGATAGTGACAATAATATAATGTAATATAATATAATAATAATAATAATAATAATAATAATAATAATAAATAATAAATAATAATAATAATAATATAATAACTAAATAATAAATAATAAATAATCAAATAAAATAAATAATAATGAATAAATAATAATAAATAATAATAAATAATAATAATAATAATATAATAATAATAAATAATAATAGATAATAAATAATAATATATAATAATAATAATAAATAATAATAATAATAATAAATTAATAAATATATAATAATAATATAATAACAACAGTAATTAATGTCACACCATCTTTCAAAATTATTACTTTACTTTCATCGTAAGGAACAAAAAAAGTGAAAATTAGATTAGAAAGATTGCCCGTTGAAGATAACGGAAGAATTCAAATAAGAGGAACCTTTCGGTCCGACGCAGATCATATAAAACTGATCTTAAGTGCTTTAGGTCAATGCAATTCCCAAAACGGTTCAGGTGTTAAATGTGAGGGAAGGAGGTTTAGTTAGAATTTTCCATAATTCCCTTCACGCCCAAACTTTAAAACGAATTCCGTCTTTCATCTTTCCGGGGCCTTTCATGTAATAAAACGCAAGTTTGTGACGAATGTGATCTCGCGTCTGGAGGACAAGGAGGGAGAATTTCTCTCCAAGGAGATGTAATCAACTCAGAAGAGCAATTCGTATCTCTTGGAGAGAGGACAAGGTCTTTGTTGTAATATCGAAGATGATGTCGGAAAGGTATGGCTGAAAGGAAGGAAATGGAATTTTTTCACCTCCTTTTTACCCTTTGAGGAACCGTGTCACCTGCGAGAAGGCGAGTCTCCAGAAAGATAGTTCGCGATGGATTAGAACCACCAAGAAAAGAGGAGAAAAAAATAGTTCTTTCAGAAAGACATGAAACAGACAACTTCAAAATCTCCAGCAAACGTATAGTAATTCAACTCAGAATTTGATCTATTTTAAATAAAATTATTTTACCCTAATTTTAACACACTTTGTAAGTGTTGTGCACTATCAATATCACGTTAATTGGATAATTTTCTTTTTGAATTTTTGAAAAACAAACATTTGCTTTTTTATATATTCTTTATTTCAAGAAATAGTTACATGTATCAGAAAATGAATGCCAGACAATCTGATGCAAGATCAGAATATTTCTCTAGAGGGTAATTTTTGCCAAGCACCGTAGAATTTTGCACAATTCTGTGCATTTGGCTCGCTGAGAATTAGTCAATGGTTCTAACGAAACAAACTTACTAATAAAATTTACAAAGAAACACCTCGTATAAGCCAGAAATATATAGATATTTTCACTCCATAAATTCCCATTACATTGAGAACTTTCACTGAGTCTCCCAATAAAGTTAAGTGGCCGAATATACAGCAATTTATAACGTCTATTATAAAAATCGAAACAAATTTATTTTATTTAAATTTTTTGAGTAAAAATAGTAAAACTGACGTATGGAGAAGTATAGTTGGTGTTCTTGAGCTCTAAAATCCCTACTACATACTTTCCTTTATCACAGTTGAATACGAATAAGATATAGTTAAATTATGAATTACGGTACAAACAAAAAATAGTTAGGAACACTCGAAAACTATAGTATTTTGCTTCCGAGTAACAGAAACGTTTTTGCTTCATCAAATGAACTTCAGATTTGATTTTATAGTATTGTTGACAAAATAACAACCCACAAAAACGGCCTCCATAAAACTCACGTATTCTAGGAAAAGAGCTCTCCATATCTTCACGAAGTATTCTTCGAAAAATTCAGTTTTGTTCATTCTCAACATGATAGTTCCAGAGTTTTATGTGACAATTTTATGGGGCAATGAAGAACGAAAGTATGCGTGAAAGAGCGAGAGTTTGAGCGAAAGAACGAGAGTGTGAACGAACGGGCAAGAGTATGAGCGAAAGTATGAGCCAAAGTGTGAGAGAATGAGCGAAACGGTGAGAGTGTGAAACGGGCGAGAGTATGAGTGAAAGAGCGGGAGTGAGTGAAAAAGCGAGTATGAGCGAAAGAGTAAAGGTATGTGCGAAAGAATGAGTGAATGAAGAGGTAAGAGAGTGAACGAAAGGGCGAAAGTGTGAACGAAAAGGCAAGAGTATCAACGAAAGGGCGAGACTGAACAAAACAAAATTAACGACGGGGTGGGAATTATGAACGAAACGATGGAGGGAAAGGAAAGGTGACAGGTCGGGGAGTGAAATGCCGGAGAGGGAGATCAAAAGGGCGAATAGTGTGATAGGAAAGGTGAGGAGTAGATATGCTAAAGGGTGGAGGAGGAGAACAGATCGAGGGTAGGGGGTAGGATAGGGGATAGGGTAAGGGG